AGGCCCAGTGCGGATCGTGGGATGTGACACAACCTTAACAAAGTCATTTGAAATCATTTGACAGTAAATTTCCCAGTAAGTTCCTAGCCTGCAGCCTGGAGAATCCTTTGCTTTCTAACGATCTCCTTCCAGATTTTAAAATGCTAAATTCAAGCTGGGGTCTTTGATGCGGCCTGCCGCCTCCCTGCGGGCCATTCCTGAGCCTGACGCAGCCGCCCCGGAGCCGACAGGGCAGCCGTCATCTCCCTGACATGCAATGAAACGTGTCAGGCCAATGGCAGCACACAGGAGTGAAAGCTGCCATTTACAGCACCCGTGACAACAGCGACGGAGATCAGCCCGATGTGCCGTGATATGACTGGTACCTACTAGTTAAACTGGCATTGCTTGTGACAGGGTGTCATTCTTGTGCTTGTCTCCTATGAATGATGAGCATTCTTGTCTGTACGTGGCGAAAAAAACCCAGATATTGATGTTTAGAAAATAGCTGCTGCCTTGTCCCACATTTAGCAGAATGACACTTATTTCATTAAAGCACTGCATATCATAAACAGTTGCCTTAAAAAAGAAATTACTGTTTTCACCTTTTTTTTCATGTTTTGTTGCATGTGAGTGCTGCTGATTTCTTGCAGGCACTTTCAATCTACATGCATTCCATGCTGAATGGCATTTCTCCTTATGGTGACAACAGTGGGCAATGCCTGAATAATGAGTGTTAAAAGGACCACTTGTAGTTTCCATTGAAAGCCTAGGTGACGGGGTGACAACGCACACTTGGCAGATAGTATGTTGTCACCTTATAGCAGGAAGTGCCTGAATAACGTCCTTCCACAAGGCATTATTTTAATGAAAGCTGCAGATTTCAAAATATTGAAAAGTTAATTTTGATCTCATATTAACACGGCAAAGCAGAACTCCGAGAAAAAATGTTTTTAACTCCTGCGGTGGGGCTGCCCACTGCCATGCAAGAGTTAAATGCTAGTTTTGGTCTTGGGAGGAAAATAACAAACATATACTCACCTGAATCTCGAAGCCAGACGGCTGTGACAGCGCTACCTCCAGCCTCTCTCTTCCTCTGCTGCAGCAATGGTATGTGCCTCTGCGTCCTCACGTCCTATACACAGTGTACAGAACGTGATGACTCAGGACCTTAGACTTTTGCAGTGGAAGGGGGAGCAAGGCTCCAGGGGCTGGTCTAAGAGTAAGCTGGCTCAGTGGATCGGGTGAGTATAATTTTTTTTATTTTTGAACCTAGACAAAAACGAGTGTTTAAAGTATTATTAAGCTGTCAAACTTTTTTTCAATAATGAATCTAGATCAAACAAATATACATTACCCAGCAAAGCATTGCCTTACATTTTTGCCCAAACACTTAACAATCATCATGTTTCTGAAAAGTTGCGTTCCGCTCTCTCAGCTCAGCTTCCCCAAACTTCCTGTCCAGTACAAGATGACAAAGGACAGAGCAGACATCAGCAACTGTTTATCTACTAGCTTGGTGAAGGTGCCGTGGGAAGGGAAGTACCTTGATTTGCTGTGTCTGTGTGTGTTTGTGGAGACAAACACAGCGTACTAGCACACACAAGGGTGACTGCATACCACTCTGCTTGAGAATGGAGTCACTCTACAACAGGAAATCAGGACCAGTGCTCACGGGACCAGCTGCTTCTGCAGGAAACTAAAACTTTTAAACATCATTGAGCAGCATCCATTGTAAGTGATTTCATCAGCATTTGGAATAGCTTAAATTCCCTTTTTTATTTTTTATTACAGGTATTTATATAGCGCCGACAATTTACGCAGCACTTTACATAGTTGCACATTCACATCAGTCCCTACCCTCAAGGAGCTTACAATCTAAGGTCCCTTTCTCACATGCATACAAAGAGGGCAAACTTAGAGAGGAGCCAATTAACCTACCAGCATGTTTTTGGAGTGTGGGAGGAAACTGGAGTACCCGGAGGAAACCCACACAAGTACAGGGAGAACATGCAAACTCCTTGCAGATAGTGACCTGGCCAGGATTCAAACCAGGGAGCCTCAGTGCTGCAAGGCAGAAGCGCTAACCACTACACGACTGTGCTGCCCTTTAATATTTCATTTTCAGGGGCTGTGTCGAAGTGGAGACTAATGGGCCTGCTACTGCTTTTAAAGAGAACCTGTTCTGTGATCAAAGTAACAATATTGTCAAATTGCAAATATCAGTATGTTGGTTATTTCTAAACTATTTTTGTAGGTATGGGGAGCCACTGGATTCCAGATACACTCTCTACACAGGGGTTTTGACATATAATTTAGCTTTGGAAGTGTTCAGGAAAAAGTCAAGCTATCCAGGCCAACAAAAATCCAACTGATGATTAACAAAATATACTTGCTGGGAGACCATTGTTAATGTAAGCACCTTTGATCACTTGACAAGTTCACTTTGAAGTGTACTATACCCTCCAAGTTCTCTTGTGCCTAAATAACAGAGTTTGCCAAAATAAATAGTGTTTGTACAGTGTTGGGTGTGTTCATATTTGCTGTCCTCAAGTAGGATTGGGCTTGCTGAAAATAGGCATGATTTTATAAACATACATTTTTGTATGGGTCTGGGTGGGGTTTTGACACCCCTGGGGTGGGTCAGGCAAATGTCCGAGCTTTGAATTTCAAACTGACAGAAGTCAGTAAAGAAGAACAGTGAGAGCATCACGGTAGTGAGATTACCAAATCTCACTAAAAAAACACGTGAGCCTAGTAATCAGAGCCTGCAGTACCTTAGATGATCTCATACTGCGGAAATGTAGCTATAATGCTGCAGAACAGGAGAGCCTAGGCACAGGAAGTACGCTTATATTTTGAAGGACACATTCTAGATAAAGGGTACATTGTTTAGGGTACTGCTAAGGTAAAAAATACTTTTAAAATAACAAATATTCACTTTTTGGGTTCAGGTCCACTTTATAGAAAATAAGTTCATGAGCTTCTATCGCTGACCACTTTCCCAGAATGCAGTATTGCCTTCTCTTTGTGTCTGTTGTGGCTTTCAATTCTGGCACCAGGCAAAATCATAATCAAGTCAAAACCCCTTTTCTGCATCCTTTTTTTAATCAATAATTTAGAAAAGCTATACATTCAGGGAATCCACCCTTGTATTCCTTTCATGACATGCTGTATCTACTTTGAAGTACGTTAGATTCATTGATTATGTCAAAGTGCTACAGTTTAGATCTATACGCTTGATTTTCTGTGGAACTTTTTTTTACATTTAGAAATGCAAGCCACCTAAGTGTTAATATAAATCAGTGATACTTTACTTTCTAAACCATGTGTTACTTTGCATGTATGAATAAAAATATGTTTTTATGAAATGGAAGATACTCTGATTTGTATTAACACATAACTAACTTGCATCTGTTAGGGTGAGAGAGCATGCACTCTAAAAGAAGCCTGTATGCGACCAAAATGAAAAATATAGCAGTTTTATTTATACTTGGAAAGCAGCACCTGTTTTTTGCATGGTAAAATAGCACAGTATTTTTCATCACTTCACTTGATTTCATACTGGCATGAAGGAAACAAAATTGTCTTGGTGGGGTTCCAAGACACCGATAGTAAAAAGTTGACTTTGAAAGTTTGCTATGACAGATCTTTGTTTGCTGATGGAACAGAATTTGGAACCTTCAACTTTTTGAAATAAGTGTCTTTCAAGAAGAATATCACGACTGTGAAAAGCCATAGCATCTAGTTGGAGAAACCCCAGTTTTTTTGCTGTCTGTTTCACAGTGTGGATATTTCCTTTCACTTCCTGTCGCAGAGGCTAAATAGGAAGAGGAGGTCTCTACAAAAGAAGGGAAATTCCTTTTTGACAGTTTCCTCCCGAACAAGTGTCCCCAGTGAAAGATTTCCTCTGACCTCTTGTTCAAGTGACAACTATAACATTTTGGATTTACCAAAATTTTCTGTCTCTGTGACAATGGTCAGCAGGATGAACAGAGAGGATGAATCTAAATGACAAATAGCACCTTGCGCCATACCCTATGTAGCTGCAAGCACTATAAGAAGTGTTACCCTCTAAATGTATCAAATTATAATAATGAATGCGCTGCGCTTCAACTAGAGCAATAAATAAATACACAAATCTCTATAATAAATATGTGCTCAACAATACATGCAATCAAAGTGTTCACAATTGCTCTTCTTGTAAATATCAATCCTAAATAATATCCCTCTGGAAAGTTCAATCATATATTCCATGTTCAGATGTGCACAAATGTGGAATCACACGTATAAAGTACTCAAGATTTGTCCCAAGTGCACCACACTCTTTATCCTTCCACTGTGATTGTTCTTTATACAAAGTCCATACACCAACTCCAATTATCACCCAGGTACTCACCCCTCTCAGTGGGCCGCCCACCTTATAAGTAGACCTAAGCAAGTCTAAAATCGCTTTATGGGATCTCCAATCAATCTTATTCAAAAGCCGTCTCTCCACAATCATTGCACAGAAAATGACGTCAGCATGTCATCACGACCATATCCAATAAAATATAAAAACAGCCCATAGCGTAAAACAGTAAAATGAATAAAACTCATTTATTTAAAAAAAACTACTCACATAAGGAATGTTGACATAAAATTTCAAGTAAAGTGTATGCTCGACAACTCTTTCTCCGTGTCACCGTATTCTGTAGGTGAAAGACGGATCAAACACAATCTGTGCTGCCGACCATGCAATCTTCAATCCACGTCTGTGAGACTCCGCCCTAGGCATTATGTCACAATTGACTTCATCTGGGGCTTCAAGTCAAGTCTACGAGTTAATTCGATTGTGAAATAACGCGTGGATTGGAGATTGCATGGTCGGCAGCACAGCTTCTGTTTGATCCGTCTTTCACCCAGAGAATACAGTATATATATATATATGTACTGTATATGATGTATATACATGTTCACGTGTCTTAATATTTTATTGCTATGTGCATATTAATAATACGCATGTTTTCTGTGATTATCAGGTTAGCCAGTACACATTCGCTATGTGCAGTTATAGAGAGAAAAAGGCAGAACCACAGGAACTTCTACAACTTGATGGCTACACAGTGGATTACACAGACCCACAGCCAGGTAAGTGAATGAAGGACAGATTGACAGATTTTTTTGAAGGGAATGTTTAATGACTATTATATATTTTCTTTTTTTTAATTATCTTCAGTATTAGATTTTTCATTTTATATTTCAGTATATTTTTAAAATATTTTTTCTTAATACTTTAATTGCATCAGACAATTACATCATTAAGAATAAGAACACTGCCATTTCATAGTATCAAAAGCTGTCAGTTACAACAGGGTTTAGCTGTTGGCAGCCATGTACAGTGTCAGCTGGTAGCTTTCAAAGAGTGAATATTTATTAATGACGTATCCTATCCACAAGAAATCATACAAACAGAAGGGGTTAACATAATTTTTCACCTTTAGAGAGCTGGAGGCTATTGGCTTGAACAGATGATTTTGCAGTTGTCTTACATATTGATTTTTTTTACCTGTCTCCCGTTGCAATCTACATAGTATAACATAAAAAAACAAAAACAGGGAGAGTGGAAACTCCCACAAAAAACTAAAAACAAATGTTGAATCCTAAAACGATAAACCTTGTTCAGCATTTACAAAAAAAATAATTTTGTTTTGAGTGCAGTGACACTTAATAAAACACAATACTTATAATGCAATCTGCCTTGTTAAGTGGCAACCCCTTTTGTAATCTTATTTATTTATTCATTTATCTATTTATTTTTAACAGGCTTGGAAGGAGGCCGCTCATTCTTCAATGCAGTCAAGGAAGGCGATACAGTGATCTTTGCAAGTGACGATGAGCAAGACAGAATTTTGTGGGTCCAAGCAATGTATCGAGCCACTGGCCAGTCACACAAACCTGTGCCACCAACCCAAGTTCAAAAACTTAACGCAAAAGGAGCTTATGAAGAAGATCATATGCAAATACTAACTGTTCTGAAATGCACACTCCTTCTGTGCACAGTCCCCCTGGACTCAGAGAATGTGCATGTGTGCTTCATTATCAGAAGTGCTAGGTTGTTTGTTGGGATGGTAGTGAGGATTAGAGCTGCAGAAAGGGGTTATTGACAATTTATAGCTCTGTAAGTGCCTGCTTTGCAGTCAACAGAGCCATAGAGTAGGGGGGGAAATTTTTAAATTATTTTACAGGTGATGGGTTTTCTATAAATACAAAGGTACCTTAGCAAGGAATATTATTTATGTATAGTTTTCAATTCCTTATTTTATGCATAGGCAACATTTTTATTAAAATAAAATAGAAAAATACGGTAAGGGTTTGTAATTGTTTTTAGATTTTGCTATCATATACTGATGCTGTGCAATGCATGACTGACCTCCAGGCAGGTCTACAATCTCCTTTTAATCAAAATCAAAGGAGCTAGGCTATGTACACAAAGGCACTTGGCATGAGTTAGGTATTTTATCAAAGGAGCTAGGCTATGTACACAAAGGCACTTGGTTAGGTATTTTATGGGGGGCAGTAGGTACAGTGTCCAGACTCTGCGGTCTATATTCATTTTAATACCTATGTATATTGAGCTCATTGCATTTGAACGCCAGACATCAAAAAGTGTGTCTGGAACCCCTTTCTGATGTCTATGTGTACAATTATGAGGCTTGAGTTCTCAGGCCCTTGTTGGCAATTAAACAGTAAAGGGCTGCTTATTCGACTGCCTACCATGAGCATAAGTATCATTGCGAATTTGTAGCTATAATTTGGGTTGTATTCCAGACAAAAACATGAACATTTTAATTTAATTTCATTTTAACACTAGCAAAAGTAAAATATGTTAAGGTATAGTGTGTTGTTCATCTTAAAGTGCAATACTGGATTTACAAGTTCATCAGAGGTGGCCCCATAAGCTCTTCATTAAAACTAATTTGGTTTCGTGTAATTGTTCTGATGCAGCTGCATTGATAGTTCCGTGCTACAGACCGCTTTGCCGTGTAAATCTCACAGTAGATTACTGCCACAGTGTCTTTCTCTGCCTCTGGAGCGAGGGAAGAATGTGTGAAGCCCAGGTGGTTTGTCTCTCCCTTATCACAGCACATTGTTATCAAGTTCAAAAGTCAGTCGTTCCCAAATTTAAAGATGTGTTAAGTAGACGTTTTCACACCGGCACTCCTGACAATAGAGTTTACCACACACACTGCTTTAAACACTTGCTTTCTTGCAGGTAACACACTATGATGATACCCTGTCAGCAGAAAAACTCACATCTGTTTACCTTTAAATAAGCAGAAATGGGTGAATGTGTTACCTATTAAGAAGGCAACCATCTTGGGGGGAACAACAGGAGAAAAGTGTGAGACTGCAAAAAGCTTCCAAAATGGTGGGATACCCACCATTGCGTCATAGGGTTAAAGTGCATGTCAACACAAGATTAAAAAAATCATATGTATATGTGGTTCATTTCTGCAGTACGGGCACATTTGCTCATGTTTATTTCTTTTAACAACCTGTCAAGTACAGAATTTGCCAGAAATGCACTCAGCTCCTGAGTATAAATATAGTATAGCTGACAACGCATTTTTGTGGATTGAGTGGTGTCAACCCTGTCCAGTTTTTTTTACTACTCAACCACTCCCACTGTCTCCATCATCAAAGCTTAGGTACTAATTGACTTGTAGTCCTTGGATAAGAACTAGGAGGGCTAAATATACTTGAGATAACACAGTGAGTGTGCATGGACACAGACAGCAGTCAATTTCTGGGCCTTAAAGTATTATACAAAAGTATGGTCTGTGTTTTTATTTTTAATAGCTAGACATTTTCTCCATGTCTCAAGCTGTCATACCTTTGATCCTGTCAATGGTCACCAGCGAGGGAATTGCCTGAATGAGCAAGGAGAACATTCAGTTGCTTTGCATGTGTCGCTCCCTTGCTAGTTGGATCAGCAATGCATTGCTCCTTTGCTGGCAGAATGCTAGAATAGCTAGAATCCTAGAATAGGCTTCAGAAAGTCGCCAATGAGTTGGCAACGCCTCGCTGATCCAACCATCGAGAGAGTCAATTGCCAGGCAAGGGAACTCTCATATTAGGAAGGGGTAAGTTCCATGTTATATTTTATGTGTTAATACCTACATCCCTCCCTCAAGTGACAGTTCCTGGGACTGACAATTGGCCACTTATACAAACAGACGAACACAGCATCATGGCTTAAGTGAGCATCAGTGGGTGGCTTGTCAAGCAAATGTAAAGACATATTCCCTTTCAAGGGTTAGTTCATCTTTACATGACCTTTCCAAAAAAGTACCTCTACATTCCTTCTTCTGTTGTATGTCAAAATGAGTCCTCAGATGTTCAAGTTTACAGACAGTCTGGGGAGAGGCCATGCACAGCTTACAGGTGTTCCCTTGGAAATTAACCATCTTCTTTAAAACCTTAGGACTGCTCTTTTACCTATATTTCACCGAGTGATTGTTACAATAACACATTTACTCATGGCTAGATTGACCATTAGCCAGAGTAGGCATGTGCCTACAAGCACCCTCGATAGAGGGGCGCAGTGCATGTACCTACTCTGCCTAATTCCCAGTCTTGTGTCAAGATACAACACAGGCAAGAGCAAGGAGGGTGCATTCTTCACAAAATGCACAAGGAAAGGACCCCGGCGCTGAGTAAGACTGCCTTCTAAAACACCTTTCTTAGGGCATTTAGGGCAGCCTTATGCAACGCTGGGGTTGTCTCTGAATATGTGAAAGCTGGTGGGTCCCACAGCAAGTAAGCGTGCCGCCTCAGGTTAAACAAATTTACGTTTGTGCCTACAGGCGTTTGAAATGGGAATCCGGCCCTGCATTTTCTGCCCTAGGGTGACCACACTTACCCTGCTGTATCAGAACTGAAACAGGACAGGACTACAGAAACCTCACCTGTTCTTTTTGCCATAAAATAGATGGACTTGTAGTCCTCAGAGATAACTAGAACAATGTAAAATGAATATGATGCTGCACAGATTTCTGGCAAGAGTAACTGGTATTTTTTGCACATAATAAATATAGTAGATATACCAAAATACTTATAGTTATGTATTTACCAGACCAATAGGGACCGTCTAAGAAAAGTTAATTGTTAGAGTTTATATGGCCTTTAGGATTTGCACCTGAGTTTTATTTTGTTTGTTTTTTTAATAACATTGGATACCTCTGGTTTCATGTACATAATCCAGTATTGCATTTTAAAAGCTTTTAATCTTTTTTTTCCACAAAGGTAAGGCAGTGTTGTTGTTCCTGTCTCTGTTAAATTAGTGGTACTTCAATTTCCCTGTCCTTTTGAATATTCTTTGTGCTTAGACTAATGTAGAACCATAGATGAGCTTACTCCACCTAGAATCCAGTTCCTAAGCATTTCAACATGTGTTATATTGCAGAAGACTAAATCGTTCACTCTTTCTTTCAGAGCTGTCCATGTAGGCTTAAAAAAAAAAAAAACCTTTTAGGTAGTTTTTCCATGCAAAATTATACTTTTTTCAGATCGTTTAGCAAATTCTGACTTGGAGTTCTAACCAAGAAATGTATTTTGGGAGATAACGCAGCTCTGAAACTAAGGGTGGATTCCATTATTTGCATTGGAAACTTGAAATTAGATCCTGCTATTCATTCATCTGTGTGACTCCACAAATCACTTTTATTTGGCTAACTGGGAAAAGGGCCAGCGCCTTCCCCACTTTTTTGTTTATTTTTATGTCTCGTGTTTTATCTCTCTCAGTACCGATAAAAAACATATACTGTATATATTGCAATGATACGGGCTGTCATTGAGAAAACACACCAAGCTATTGGATTACATAAGCTTTATAAAAGTGACCACCCGTCCACAAGCACCTTTTGTCTGTCCTGTCTGTCGCAGTAGAACATTCAATCAAACACCTACCCAGAAATATCATTAAAAAATCCAATATATTTCTATTTTTGTTAAATCAAAAATTGCTCTATAAGTTGATTTTTTTTCTGCATTTATGTTTGAACCTCTTGAATTTAAATGCCATTTTTTTACATATATTGAATGATCAGACACTTCTATCACAAGATAAATCATTTTTACCATAGACATATTTCATGTTGTTTAAAGACCAAAAAAAAAAATACTAAGAAAAAAAACCTTCTGAAAGTTTTCTTTTTCATTCTTTGCCTAGTGTTTAAAGTGTTTCTATCATCTACATGCAGTGTAGGCAGTCATTTTGTGGGCCAACTGAATAATCAAGATAGATATTTCTTGGAGGCTATTGGCCACTGCAGATTGGGGCTTTTTGGATAGTCAGTTGCCCAGAAGTTGGTGTCATCACTGCAGCTTTAAGTACTTCAGCCTAGCTATTCTCAAGGTGCAAGTGACATCACCAGGACTCAAGGCACTGAGTGTTCAAAGTTTTGGTGATGCCAGTAGTTCCTGAAGAATTGATAAAATATTTGGTCAGCTCTCAAAGTGACTGTCTCTTTGGCGTGTAGGCGATAGTTACATTTTAACTTGCTAAACTGGGGCCCCTGTCTGCTTTCCTAAGTCTTTATGTTGTTCTGGTTTGTTTCTTCTTACCCTGCTAACTTCTAGCTGGACCAAAGGGTAAGTGCTCCCTATAGATGGCACAGTTCAGATAATCTGATTAGATTATCTGACATACGCAATGTGCTTTTTTCTCTTTTAAATCTATCTCATGTTTAGAGTTGTAGTAAAAACTATTCATGTTTTCCTAAATTTAGGTTTGAATTGTAAGTTTCCATACTGAATTTAAAATGCATGTGATGTTTGCATAATTGCCTTCTCTCACTGGCTTGTACTTCAGCATCACATGATGCTGCTTAATCCAGATTTGTTTGATTTTTATATTTATTTATGTCTTTTGTTTGTATATTTCTTTTGTAATTTGCGTTTTCTGAAACCTATTTTTGGGTTAGACTTCATTTTGCAGTTTTATTTTTTTTAATTCACAAATGTCACATGGATTGTGTAGCGCTTGCAACCAGATCATCTTGCACAGCTCTAGGCATTTGCATTTGATTATTTTGTTTTGTACTATTCATTGGTTGTTTCAGTACGTTGCATGGATGAGTTGACCCAAAAGCCTGTGATGTGCAGCAGCAAGTTGGAAAACATTAAAGGCATACTAACCCTATATTTTGGTTGCAAATAGTGATAAAAAAATGTAAAGCAAATTGCTGATAAGAAACATAATTTAGCTACAAAGTTTATGATTAAGTAATGTGAAAGGGTTTTAGGTTTTTACCCCACAGAAACCTTCTCTAATTCCCAACAGCCTCCCATTAGCCTTTACCAGCTATAGTCATGTTTTTCAAGTGTACAAAAGAACACTCAGGTGTGCCATAGTAACATTTGAGTACAGGTATACATCCTAAATGTAACACAGGAGTTCTAAAAATGCGTTCAAGTGCCTTAGCTATTGACAAAAATGTATCTTATTGGCGTATTACTCAGCTGTAGATCCTCAAATCATCTCTGAATTGGTGCTGACACTGTCCTTCCTTCTGCAGGGTGGATACTTTTGTTCCCCATGGTCCCTGTGTGTGTTGTAAAGTAGTCACCGCTCCAAGCTCACTCCTGTTATGGAAAATAGATTACTAATTTGTATTGAAATTATAGTCTATTACAAGAGTGAACTTGGAGCAGTGACTACTTTACAACACACACAGGGACAATCAGTAACCACAGTAGTTACCCTCCAGAAGGAAGGACAGTGTCCGCATGAGTTTGGAGATGATTTGAGGATCTACAGCCGAGTGATACACAAATAAGTTACATTTTTGTTAATATGTTGAATTTCTGAGTTTAGTGTCACTTTAAAGTAGAACTGTGGCCAGGCTATAGAGAATCAAACACATATTCTTGGAAAACAGTAAATAAGCTTCAAACCAAGCAAATCAAGCCCTCATTGACTACTGACCTCTAAATGACCTGCGTAGCTGCAGGCACTGTGGAGCAATTACTCCTCAAAGAGTAAGGCATTCAAGTCAGGTCTCGGCAATCTGCTCTACCCTTCTTCCTGTTCACCTGCTCAGCGTTTGCGTTAGAGTTGAACTCTAACCACTTTAAGTGCTTTTGCTTTAAGTGTGCATTACTAAAGAGCATATATTTTATACCTGTTCTTCAAATGGTCAGATTCAAACACTTCTCTTCTGTGTTTGGTATTTATTTTAACATACAAATGCAAATTCACCAAATGCAGTCTTTGGCAGAATTAATATTATCCCCTTAGAAAAATTCAGTTCATTTAACCACATTAGCTGTACATCCTGTCTCAGAGGTTTTTGGTATGGGCAAGGCCAGCACTAGTTCAGACAAAAAGAATAAATTTCTTGATCAGACATTTATATGAATCTTCCATAATGGCCATGGACATAACATGGTGGCCTACTGTGCATGCACGATCTGCCCACTGAATAATTATTTTTGGGAAAGATAGGTACATAGACATCTCCCAAGTGTGCATGGCTATGCAGTGAGCAGACACACCTACAAGGTCCACTTTGCTTCGGGGAAAAAAAAGCAACTGAATCAGATTGGGCAGTTGATTTTTAGCATAGAAAAAAAACCCTACTTTGGGGTTACAGGTGGTATTTGAGGTGCCCTATTAGCATGCGAGTTGGAAAGAGACATAAAGAATATATTCTTGTCCAGACAAAATTAGCAACAATTATTTAATATTAATGGGTATAAATAGTCTAGGAAGTAAACATTACTTAAAATAGCTTGAGTCCATGTGATTTTTGACAAGCATCCTGATATTCTTTGTAGGCAATACATCTTCTATATCAAGAAATTAGTTGACCTCTTGATGTGTTTTCCAAATTTGAGCTGAAACAAATTTTGTTTCAAACAGCACCACTTATGCATGCTCTGCTTTACTGGCAATGTTGGGCACCTGTGAATGGTTACTTTCTCCTGCATTGAGTCTGAAGCTCTTTAATTGATCACCCTCTAAGCCTGCAAGTAGCCTGCAAAGAGAAGTAATGTGAAAATACTATAATTATCAATACAATATAATACAGTATATTTCCCTAGGAAATAATGTATTTTAATCTTAGTGTGCCTAAAACTGAACTTGTCTTTTATGCATACAAGGAATAATAACCCTCATGGTATATAAGTTGCAATATTTTTAATAATACAAATGTTCTTTGTATGTTTTAGAATAGTCTGTAAATTAACTTCTTGATCATATGGAGTATTTTTATAAGTATCTTGATATTGCTAAAGCCACGGCCTCTTGTGGGTGGTCAACAGTATAACAATTTCTGTTAATGCTTTCCATAAATATCAAAGTTTTCCAAAAGTTTTTTTGATCTTTCATATTATCTCGCTGCTTGAGAATAATAAAAAGACAAACAGTAACACTGTTCTAGGATATTAAAATACTATAATGTCTGAAATAGTGCTGATAAGATAAGCATATGATTTAGAGAATATATTGGGCCAATTTTTTTTTTATTCATATGTTTTAATTTCGCATGCATCCTTTTGTAGTATTATTGTTATATTTTAAAAATTCTAAATTTGAAGGCACTCTAATTTCGATATATACATGAAGATTTTCTGTGCCTAATATAAAAAAAATTAAATTTTATTTGGCACTTTTTTATCTTCATCAATTAGATTGCATATATTTTTCAGTTAAGGGATCAGAATGAAAACAGTTAATTTTCAGGATTTTGTATTTTAATTATCTGGATCCCGACAGATTATACTTAAAAAAAAGATCAATACATTTGTTTCAGATTTGACATAAGATATATTAAAACATTGTCTATGACAAATCACAGCTTAAGCTTTCCAAACTACAGCATGAATTAAGGTAAGGGTGCCTTTAAAGATAGAATTGAAAAAATGTTGTCTGTTTTTTGTCATAGTCCAGTTGTTGGCATTTAGTTTATTAAACAATAACCCCTTATTTATTTTACGTTTTTGTTTTAATATTAATTTTTCTTTTTAAATATTTAAGAAGGCATATGATCTACTGGCCATGAGAGTTGGCAAATATGTATTTGGAGTATTTTGAATGCAATATGAGAAGGAGCAGGTGATGTCCTCCCTCCTGACCATGAATACAATACTCCTTTTCCTTCCTTCTTTCTTTCTCTCCTTTATTTTGCTTACATTCCCCTTGGATAGCAGGCAGAATTTAATCTCCACTTCTTCAAGCAGAAACAATATTCTTTTTTTGAGTGTCTGAATAGGACTCCAGCAAGCAATGCTGCAATATGATACCATGCTGGAGTTTGCTATTTTTTAATAAAACTATCTACAAATATATACACAAGTTAAAAGGGAAAGGATGAATGAGAGAACGAATGAATGGACTTCTTGGATTGAAATTTCAGTACTTGCACCATTCGCTATCTTGTGAGATCTTGACGATTGTTTGTTCTGCTTGACATAAATCTTTTTAGCACTCCATTCAGTTCACTGCTATGTTTTATTGTATGATCAACTCGTATCTGCTACATCCACTATTGATGTTTCAAGCTTTTCGGCATTTGGTAGGCCTGCTGAAATCCATCCCCTAACAGGCTTGCCTTCAAGCGCCAAAAACGCATGAAACCTTTTTAACATTCCACATTAATAGCATGAACAAAAGTGTGCGCAAGTCACAAAAACGCATGCATTTTCTTACATATGTTCCTATGAACTGTCTTTATGAATAACCTCTCATGAAATATCTTGCATAATATATACAGGTTAACCCACAACCCTTGTGTTACTATGCAGTTTTTGTTATTTGGTAATGACAGATTACTTAGGATTATTACTTCATAAATAACACAGAATGTAATAAATAGAGTTTGCAGTTTCCCGCAATTCTTCATGCTATAATAAAGACTTAATTGTTCCTTTTTTAGGGTTTAGTTCTATGAGTAAATATTTATTAAAATTAAATGACACAGAATTATTTTTTTTATTTATTTAAGGTTCATGCAAAACAACCTGGTGGTATTCAATACGAGAGAGATGAAAAAAAAGTTTTTGAATTTCAAAAGATAATTGTGCCAGGATTTAATAAGGATAAGTTTATTGAAATTAAAAAAAATAATAAAATGCACTGTTAAACTATTCAATGAAAATACATATTGCATTATACCACCGGAGACTAAATGTAACTAGGCTTTTCTTGTCACCTCATTATAAAAAAAATCAAAAAGATAAAAACTTGTGTATGTGCACATGTGTGTGCTAGATAGAAATGTATATTTAAACATGCTGAAATTCTATTGCAGAACACTAAATCTGCAAAATTATAGCAATTTTATTTTAAGGTCTCAAGGTTGTGTTCTTTGTTCTTTTTCAACCAAACTAAAATATCTAGTCTATTTTTACATTTAAGTTACAATGGTAAACATGTGATTGCTTTAAAGACCTAATCAAGTGAAGGAGGATAGAATAATCCAATTGTAAGCAAAGTGTCAGATTTTTACTGTTGTTTATATACCCTTTGGGGTGATTTACCCTAACTTCCTGTTAGGACTGGAAGTGATAGGAAATACATGTATTACTGGTATTTATATAGCGCCAATAATTTATGCAGCGCTTTACATACTGCACATTCACATCAG